AGAAGTTACATGCATGCAATCGGCACCATAGGCTTACCCTTAATGTAAATCTCTACTAATGTTGGTTTACTCGATCTAAAATCAATTAGGACTTTTTCAAGGTTGTATTGTGGGCTAAGGGATGGATAGGATATATTTAGGAATAGTGGTTCACCCTCCTAAGCACTTTAACACATCACATAATAACTTTAAGCGCAAATTCCTCAATCCACTTCAATTTCACAAACAAAATCATCCTTAACAATGTTCCCTCTTTCTTTAGGCACTACTTTAGTTCATACCCACTATCAGGAATAAGATATCAATTTATTCATCTAAATTTTATTTTATTTTTCTTTTGTAATTTTCGCTAGTGGTGTATTCTTTTGCCAAATAAGTGCACCTTTATTCTTTTCATTGGTTCCACTCAAAAGTCACCCCACACTTAATTTTTACTTTTTCTAGCACTCATTTCACAATTAAAGTGCTTTAAGAGGTAAAAGAATCAAAACAATGTCAATTAAGAACAAAAAGGGTATATGCTTGTAATGTGGGTACCAAATAAAAGTCTATAGGTTCAAAAAGTTTAACTAGGGAAAGATTTTATTTATGGTAAGCAATAAGGTCAACAAGATCAAAAAAAGCCTAAAATCATTTTTTACATTTAGCATCACCTAAAATTTTGCTTCGACTCACATACGGGGCAAGTTCTAGACTCAATCACAATAACATGGACTACAGAAAAACTCACTTTACATGCGGCACATGACTCACTAAGGATGGTCTCATTCTAACTCTCAAGCAATGCAAGTATTCACGAAGTCACGAGATATTAAGTATTAAGTACAAAGTGAACATAAGTCAAGAAAATGAGACGTAAGCATCACAAAATATGCTATCCAACTAACCAAGGCATCATAAGCAATTTTAGCTCATAGGGAAGATACTACATATGCCAAATCCTAAATATGCTACTATCAAATAAGTCAAGGGCGCCTATGAATCTCATCTTTCTTTCTCCATTTATTTTCTAAATTCTAATCTACTCTAAAAAAAATAAAAGAAAAAACTACTACCCGGTTCAAACTACATCGCATGGAAAAGAACCCAGGCACAAAGAAAAATCACATGGGATTATTACTTCCTAAAGAAAGCTAAAAGACATATTTTTCTATTTTTGTTTAGACTTTAATCCCTCAAGAAAATTGTCTAGGATATCCATCGTCGGGAAAAGTCCACTTTTTTTTCTATTTTTCTAAAAAAATATTATCTAATTAAACTAACACAGCTAAAATAGCGTAAAAAGTCACCCACACAATCTCCTCACCCCACACTTAAAATTGTGCATTGTTCCCAATGCACACCATATTAATAAGAGGTTAAAATAAACTTCCTAGTAGGCCAAAGGCCGAAGCACTAGTAGCTCATGGGGTACTCAGACTTCTCTCAGGCCTGGTCCTTCGTGCAGGTACCTCACACTTAGTTCCAACCATCTGGTTTGTTGTTGCATCCTTCCAATAGCTTTATTTTTCATGCTCCTAAAAAATCAAAAAATGACACTACAAACATAATACGATTAAAAAAATAAAAAATAAAAGAAAGCAATAAAGCTGGGTTGCCTCCCAACAAGCGCTTGATTTAACGCCGCGGCACGAAGCGAATCACTTTCTACCTCCTCTTTGAACTTATGAATTGAACCCCAAGTTTTGATTCTGCTCTATGATCATGCTCCTGGGGTGGTGGAACGAATACGACTGGCCCAATAAAACAATGTAGATTCTGTACTTCTTGGCCTTTAGACGAGGTGTGTAATTCCGACTTTCTGACAAGAAGAATTCTATAATATAGGCACCTTGTTCCTCATTCCTTGATTCCTTAAGTGGCTCGGACGACTCTACTTCTATATCATCATCCAAACATAATATGGAAAAATACTTGGAGTGTGGACCAATGCGCTCAATTGTATGAACATTGGGACTGTCTACACCCTCAACACCAATGACACTAGAGTCAACTAAATATGTATCATCAATGTCCTTGGTTGATTCTAGTATCTCTTTTACAACATCGGCATCCTCAAATTCTAGTTTGATTGATTGTTGGTGTTCTACTATGGACCCCTCTATTGGTACCTCAATTTTTGCATCTAATGCATGCTGCGTTTGGCTACTATCCACAATATCAGATTGTTGAACATTAAATGCTTCAACTAATTGACTCACTTGTGCCTCAGGGTTATGAATAATTGCCTCTTGCCTTTGGATAGTATCATATAGCCTTTGTATTAGCACTTGTTTCTCATTACTTTGTTCCATGAAACACTTTCACATATCTTTGATCTCATTCAGGTTAGTTTCCCTAGGTTCTTTGTTCCTATTAAGTTCACCAAAAAAAGTAGAACCATTTTAGTAAGGGGTTGGGGGAGGATAAGAAATATAAGCACAACCATGAAAGTGACCATCTTGACCACCACACATATCACACATATTCCACACATAAGATTGAGTTGGTGCACATAACTCGCTCTCGAAAATATTTTGATAATTTTGCCATGGGTAGTTTCCTCCACAATATGCATAAGGATAATCAAAAGTAGAATTGACAACATCAAAGCTCTCATAATTCCAAGATGCCATATTTCTAAAATCAACAAGTAAAACAAAAATATAAAAAATCAAATACAAGAAAACAAAAATAAAAGCTCAAACTTGCAACCTAGCAATATGTACACCTACAACTACACCGTTAGTTCCCCGGCAACAACGTCAAAATTTGATCACGCCCAACTATGCCTTATAAAAAGGACTAAGCAGTCGTTACAAATATAATCCAGTTTACAAGTCCGAAGTCGAATCACAGATAGAACTAAGGCTTAACCACAACTGTTCAATATTGCTAAGAAACACAAGTCCAAATAATTTTCTAATTATAGAGATTGTAATATTTATTTCTAACTAATTAACTAACAACTATTATAAAGCACTAAAATTTATCAACCAACAAGGATGAAATTTTAGACAAGACTAAGGAGGTCTAGAGTTATGATTTTCTCAATTGTCGGAATCCTTCCCGCTATGCCTTCTATAATTTCGCCTAAGTTTCTCTACCGATCATGAGTGCTCTGAGTGGTGTAACTCTCTCCCGAGTAATTACCACAATTTACTAGATATATTCTCCCGAATTATGCTAGCTGGCATTAAGTATGGCTCACTCGAATCACACCAATATTTCGTTATCCCTAATCCTACCTTTAAACCTTTCTTATTGATCCCTCATATACGTTATGAGTGATGTTGTTCAATAACTACCTAAATATATACTCTCTCCTGAGTAATACACACGAATACACACTAAATAGGCACACTAAATACACATTACAAAATTACAAAACAACCATATTACAACTCGAAAAACGATAAATTTATAGCATAGGTCGTGATTAGAGTGTCAATGGTTCGGTTCAGTTAGTTATTTTATAAAATTTATACCACACTAATTTTACAGTTATTTCATTTTGTACAACCAAAATTAGATTTTTCAAAACCGTCCCAATCATCTCGATTTCTCTTCGGTATTAGTACGGTTTGATTAGTTTTTCGGTATTTTTTTTAAAAACGTCATGCAAAAGTCGCTAGTCGGAGTTATAATGTGGTAAATATATACTCGTATAGGACTTTAGCAAAACTCGCTTGATATTTTAACTATTTTAAAAGTGATGATCAAAGGAACATGAAAGTTACACAGAATGGAGATTCATCTCACTATTCTATGATAACATAAAATAAATTTAGCAAAGAGAGGAGAATAAATCATACGACTGGAAATATACTAATCATGTTGGGACTCAAAAACAAAGCTTATTAGAAGATTAGTATCCAATTAGAGAAATCTAAATCATACGTGAGGAAAGATATTCATCACTTGTGGCCATTTTCATAATCCAAGACTCAAGAGTTTTTTTTTTAATACATTGTTAGTTTTAAACTTAGTATATTAAAATATATTTTTCGTATATAAATTTATTGGGGATGGTTCGTTATTTTTATAGAATTAAAAACCTTTCTTATTATTCGGTACGACTACAAATTTATATAAAAATCTATAATTTTATTAAAGAAAATTTAATAATCGATTCAATAGGGTTCGGTTATATATAGGTTTAGTTGGTTTTTAAAGATGTATCTATCGACAGCCCCTAATAGTCACAAGCCAAGTAGCGTAGACATCAAAGACTTGCAATCCGAGTGACATGAGAATTGCACTCATTTTCCCTATAAAAGAAGGGTTTTTTTTGTTCTATGTTTTTTTTTGTTCTAGATAAAACTCGTCACTACGATTTGGTTCGTTTAAACCCTATGTCCCAAATTTATCAACAGCTTTGAATGTCACCATGTCTGAATCAGAAGAACATGAAGAAAACCTGGATTATGATTCTCCACGATACTCTCCCGCTTCTCCACGATACTCTACCTCTCCTTCTTATTATGATTCTGATCAATCCTACTTTGGTGGAAAACGTGGTAAAACCGACAAAACAGATCGAATTAGCGCCTTGCCAGATTCTTTGATACTTCACATCCTCTCTTCCTTGGACATGGGTGAAGTAGTACGAACTGGGGTTTTGTCAAAAAGATGGCACCTCTTGTGGACTTCATCACAATCCCTAATTTTCAGTTACTCCGGCCTACATGTTAATGGTATATATAAATTCGTCATCTTTATTGATAATACACTACTTCTTTGCCGGTCTAGTATAGTCAAAAAGTTTTCGGTCGATTTTAATTACAGCAAACGCTTTGTTCGACATGTTAATAGATGGATGATATCCATTAAGAATAAACATGTGGAGGAACTGGATCTAAATCTTAGGTCACGAGGTAATTTGATTGAGATTTACAATTTACCCCAGATTATGTACTTCAATGTCGGTTTACGAGTTCTAAGTTTGTGCAATTGCAATCTTGTACCAAAAGAGGAAATTTATTGGCCTGCCCTTAGGGTTTTAGAAATTGGATATGCTGAATTGAACCGAGACGTTATTAAAAAGATTTGTTCTGGATGTCGTGCGCTGGAGTCTCTCAAGTTTAGGAGTTGTTATGGGGTTGATTATTTTGATATTGATTCCAAAAGTGTGAAGAAGTTGATGATGGATGACTATGGACGACAAAACCATGATGATGATGATGATGACGAGCTGGGAATATATGCTAGGAATGTTACTTCACTAGAAATTTGCGGTTATTTTCATAGAAGAATACTTGTTCTTGAGGATGTAAAAGCTATACTCGATGCTAAGCTAGATTTCTATAGGAATACAGATGACTACGTACTCGAACATGAATTTAGGACTGACCAGAATATGTTAAAAAATCTCCTTGTATCACTCCAGCATGTTGAGAAACTCTCCATTGGGACATGGTGTCTGCAGGTTTGAATCCGTACTTAATTCTAATCAGTCATCCGGATATAGCCATTCTTTATTTGCTAAATAGTACTACCATTTATATGAAAATTTTATTAGTGCACAATGCAAAGTGTTTGAAGTACCATCCCATAGAGCAATGCCTTTATGCCAGTGCTACTACTCTTGTATTGATTCAGAAGCATTATTCTCTATTTGCAGCTCTGCATTCATGGATCTCTGCTTATATACAATGTTATTAAAAGTTATTTCTTTGTCACTTAATTAAAGCGAGGTATTTCTAATTTTCCGTACATTGTGTGAAACATGCACTTCACTTCTCGCTTTTGCTTCAATTGTCACATAGCCGTTGCTGTTCATTTGTGCTTTTCGCTTTTAAAAACAATGGTTATGCATGTAGCGCCATCCTTCAGATCTTCAAACATCTGCTAATTCTTTGGTTTGAATAATTTGAATCTCTTGCAAATCTCCCAATAAATTTAAAACTTTGAGAATTCGTGAACATTGATCCCTACTAGATTCCAGGAAATATTCTTGACACAGGGCTAAGAAATAGATGAGAGAAAAAGGGGAAAAAGAAAGAGATGCACTTTTAATTGCTTTACCATGATGACTTGCTGATCTAAAACTGGAAGAACTGATCTTGATCAGGGATAGGGTCATGAGACCACTAGAATTAGGATTAATTCCTGATCCAACAAAATGATACTAGTATGATTTTGAGAAACATCTAGTTTGATTATGTTAATCTAGTATTATTCTAGATTTAAGTTAAACCTCTAACCCAATCTTTTGATAATTAATATAATGGCCTAGGTCCTTACGTCATTGGAGATCCAAAATTTGCCATGCCCCAGGATGAGATGCAAATACTTGACATTAAACACTCCTATGAAGAAATGGGAGCTCCCTGGAATAGCAATCCTTCTACAAAGCTGTCCTCAGGTTGAAATCTTGCACATAAACGCAGAATCTGCTTTTGAAGTGGTACGCAAGCTCCTTCTTCTACTACTATTGTTGTTCTTCTATCTTCTTGATTTGATACTTAATTTGTTGCTCATTGGGACAATGCATATGTATAGATAGTTTGAGCTGAAAGTAATGGATTCAGCTAGAACCAATTCAAAGGGGCTATTAGCTGCACTTAGGCGCTTTATGGAAAATTTCCTTTCTAATTACTCCCTCCATATCTATTCATGTGGAACAGTTTGATTGGTCACGGAGTTTAAGAAACAAAGAAATACTTTTGAAACTTGTGGTCATAAATATACCATGAACTGGAAAAACTGCCTCAACTAAAGGTATCAAAATAACATGTCTTGTTGACTTGCAGCCAGATGAAGGTACTGATGGAAGCCAAGATATTTTTTATTTCAGGTGCGAAATGTTTTGAGATCATCGATTCCGGCGAGGGGTGGTTTAATATAGTTGAAAGGGGAATAAGATTTTCGTGTAATATTAACATAGATGAAGAAAGTCTCAGGCGAGTTTGCACAACACTCAGACAAGTAACCAAAAGGGAAGGGAATTACTACAGACGTTAGGGGTGGAATTCACAGTCATACTATTACAGAGCTTTTGTAAATTTCAATAGCTATGGTAGATTCATACGTATTGAAGCATGGTTGGGGAGCAGGAAGAGAGCAGTGATTATTCCTGAGGCAGATTGTAACTTGGGATGGGAAGATATAGCAAACAAAATTTTACACTTTCTGGGGAAACAAAGTACAAGCAGATCTAGACTTCCTCCTACTCATCAGGCCTATGCAGACACAACAAAAATTTCTCGGTCGCCGGTGACGAAGCTTCCAGCCAGGACTCCTGGTTAACACTGTAAATACAGTTAACCAACACACAGAAGACGGGAATCACTATTTTCTCTCAAGGTGCTTAGTCGGCACTTTCAACGATCCCTTCAACTACAGCCCCAACCATGAGGTGATACAAAAATGGTTTCTGAATAGGTGGAAGGTTTGCGAGGGTCTGAAAGTAACTCCAATGTCCCACAATCAATTTCTCTTCGAATTTCCATCAAGAAAAGAAGCAGTGAGAGTCCATGCTTGCTGGAGATTGGTTCTGGAACGGTCGACGCCTTTCATTGGAGTGGTGGTCGCCGGTGGCGGGCACTGAGTTAGCCTCGCAGAGATCTGGTCAAAAATGGATTAAGGCTTTCGGAATTCCCATTAATGCTTGGAAACTCGAGACATATAAAATCATTGGCGACATGTGTGGTGGCTTCATAGACATTGACGAAGATACGAGGCATCAGAATCACTTTCTCTGGGCAAGAATCTGTGTTAACAATGGTAATAATGAATGTCCAGATAAGATAAAGCTCGATGTGGAGTGTTGGAGTTTCGAAATATCAATTCTGAAGGAGGTAGCAGCGTCGCCAAAACCTTTCCGGCCAGCCGCTGCAAAAACAGAGGCCAAAACTAAGGCGATGGGTTTAGGGGAACATGAAGGTTTTTCTGTCAGTCCAAAGCATGTGGGGGGACAACTGCACATGAGGGGACAACTGCACGTGGGGGGACAACAGTCAAAGGGTCACTTTAATTCAAACCTTTTGGGTCCTATTCCATCCCTTCTCCATAAACAGGCTAATAATAATAGTATTAGCCAAAGTAGGCCCAATAAGGGGAGCACCTCAGGAGTCATTAAAGAGAAGATGGTGGGCCAATCTTTTAATTATTACAAAGCCCCCAAAAAGAAGGCCCAACAAATGATGAAGGCAACTAAACCCACTATTAATCAGGTATGGACTGCCAAAGGGCCTCTACAGGATCTACGGCTTAATCCCAATATTGCTATTCCATCTTCTTCTTCAACCTTCTGTCAGCAGACCCAATCCATAGTGCCATTCTCTGAAGCAGTAACGCATGCAACCCCTGTAACACACTCAAAAGCTGATGATGAATCGGAAAATTTTCTTTCTAATCTATGGGGTCTTTCTCAACAAATGGGTTGGTCTGATGTTGCCTCTACTGCATTAGTGCGCTCAGAAACAGATTCATACACTGAGTCACTTTCTCTACCATGGCACGATGGCGAACAACTGGAATTACAGGGATTCCAACAAGGAATTCAACAACCTACAGCAGTAGAAACCTCCAAATGGATCAAATTGGTGTTGGGTTAAGTATGCAAGGCTTTCGGGATCAATGAAGCGGGATTTGAGCACGAAATTTTTGACTTAATCATGAGAATGGACCAGAAAAGACAGGTTCAAATACAACAAAGGGGATCACCCTCTTCAACTAGTAAGAAGGGGAAATGGAGGAAAAAAGGGGAAACTGAGGTTCAGAACTTAATCTGTGGCATCAACTATGAAGGAATAAAAAGGAAAGGGGTAGGCAAGGCAAGGCAAGTCTCTTTCCAGATGAAGGTTAAAATTCTAAGCTGGAATATTAGGGGTCTCAATGACTGGGATAAAAGGAGCACTATCACATCACTAGTTAGGAAGTGGAAAGCTGACATTCTGTGTCTCCAAGAAACCAAAATGGAGAACATCCCAACCAATATGCTTTACCAAATTTGGGGGAAATAGGTGTGCTGAATGGGCAGAGGTGAAGGCTAGTGGCACTAGGGGTGGTATTCTTATTCTATGGGATAATAGATTGTGGAGGTGTATTGACTCTCACCAGGGGTGCTTTACTAATACTTGCTTTCTTGAAAGCCTCCAAGAGGACTTCAGATGGGGGTTTACAGGTGTTTATGGTCCTCACTCCAATGCTGAAAGGGAAGATTTTTGGCAGGAATTGGGATCAGTCAGAGGTATCTAGGAGGAACAATGGGTTGTTGGAGGGGATTTCAATGTATGTATGTATGAATCTGAAAGATTGAACTGTTATAGAAGGACCAAAGCTATGAGATACTTCTCTGATGCAATAGAGGACCTGCAACTAATGGATTTGCCATTACATGGAGTCCAATACACATGGTCAAGAAGGGAGGATATTTTCCAAGCCTCAAGAATTGACAGGTTCTTGGTCTCCACAGAATGGAATGAAAGTTTTAGAGTCGTCAAGCAACTAGCACTCCCAAGAGTCATCTCATATCACAAACCTTTATTGCTAGAAAGTGGAGAATGGGACTCAACAACATCTTACTTTAAATTTGAAAACATGTGGCTTCAAAGAAAGGGATTCATTGATATGGTGAAAGGGTGGTGGCAAAATTACACAATAAGTGGCAACCCAGACTTTGTTCTAATTCAAAAGTTGAGGAGCTTGAAGAAGGACATCTCCAAATGGAACAAAGAAGTTTACGACATGTTAGACACTAAGAGAAGCAGGGCTCTTGATGAACTCTTAGCCTTAGAACAAGCAACTGAAAGCAGAGCTCCAACTCAAGTAGAAAAACAAAGGTTTCTGACTCTAAGAATGGAGTTGGAAGAGATTGCTAAAGCTGAAGAAATTTCTTGGAGGCAAAACTCTAGATGCTTATGGTTAAAAGAAGGGGACATGAACACTAAATACTTTCAGTCTTTGGCCAACTCTTTTAGGAGATGCAACTCAATTGACAAGCTCAAGATAAACAATGAGATTACAGAAGATAAAGAATTGATCAAGGGGGAGATATTAAACTATTACCAAGCTCTTTACACAGAGAAGGAAGAGTGGAGACCATCTTCCAACTTTGAAGATGTTGCCAGAGTATTAGAGGAGGAAAGTGAGCTGCTTGAAAAAGGTTTTGAGGAAGATGAAGTTTATGCTATCATTCAATCATGTGCCCCAGATAAAGCCCCGGGTCCAGATGGCTTTACCATGGCCTTCTTTCCGAAGTCATGGGATTTCATCAAACCAGAGATTATGGAAGCACTAAATCATTTCCACCAGCACTGTTACATGGAGAGATCATGCAATGCCTCTTTCATGCCTAAGAAGAATGGGAGAGTTTAGGGATTATAGACCAATAAGCCTTATTGGTAGTGTTTATAAGATTGTGGCCAAGGTGTTAGCAGAAAGATTGAAAAATGTTATTGGGAAGCTGGTCTCTTCTCATCAAAATGCTTTCATTAAACACAGACAGATTACTGATGCAACTCTCATAGCTAATGAAGTGTTGGATTGGAGGCTTAAAACTGACACACCTGGTGTTATGTTTAAATTGGATATAGAAAAGGCATTTGATCAATTAAACAGGTCTTACTTGCTATCTATTTTGAGGAGAATGAGATTTGGAGACAAATGGTTAAAATGGATCAAATACAGTATCTCTACGGTCAAGTACTCAGTCTTAATCAATAGAGGTCCTGTTGGTTTCTTTTCACCACAGAAAGGAATTAGGCAAGGGGATCCTCTTTCCCCCTTCCTATTCATACTAGCCATGGAGGGTTTAAGTAAAATGATGGAAAAAGCAAGACAGATGCAATGGATCCAAGGATTCAGTGTAGGCACAAACATTGGAAACTCAGTCACTATCTCCCATTTATTATATGCTGATGACACACTGATCTTCTGTGAGGCAGATAGAGTCCAAATCATGTACCTAAATCTTACACTCCAGCTATTCGAAGCATTATCTGGACTTCACATCAACAAGCAGAAAAGTATTATATATCCAGTCAATCGGGTGAGCAACATTGAGGAGTTGGCAGGGATCATTGGTTGCAGTACAGGGTCATTGCCTACCACCTATTTGGGGCTTCCACTAGGAGCTAAATTCAAAAGTTGTGATATCTGGAATGGTGTAGTGGAGAATTTTGAGAAAAGATTGGCTTCATGGCAACAACAATACCTCTCTATGGGAGGAAGACTCACTCTCATCAGTAGCGTGCTTGACAGTATCCCCACTTTTGTCATGTCACTGTTTCCCATTCCTAAAAAGGTTCTTAAAAGGCTGGACAAGATCAAGAGGGACTTTCTATGGGAAGGAAACAACAGTTCTCACAAGTATCACTTGATTAAATGGGATAAGGTTTTACAACCTAAATGCAAAGGTAGATTAGGTGTCAGAGATCTAGACAAGCACAATAAAGGTTTGCTAATGAAATGGCTCTGGAGATATGGCACATGTGAACCAAGTCTATGGAAAGAGGTGATCAAGGCAAAACATGGGATTAAAGACAATTGGAGCACCAAAACTATTAGTGCATCCCATGGAGTAGGGCCCTGGAAGCATATTAGTAAACTGGGGAATATATTTTTTCAGAATATTCATTTCAAACCAGGCAGTGGATGTCATATTAAGTTTTGGAAGGATAAATGGCTAAACAACACTGCTCTCATGGAGGACTATTCTAGCTTATTCAACATTGCCTTGGACAAGAATTCTTCTATTGCTCATAACAGAGCAAATGATAATTGGGATGTGCAGCTCAGAAGATCTGTTCAAGACTGGGAGATAGAAGACTTGATGGAAATGCTAGCAAAATTAGAGGCCTACATCATTGATGAGAATGTTCCAGACAGCATGAGATGGGGATGTAAAGGTCTTTATACTGTTAAAGATTGCGACAGGCAACTTAACAATCAGAATCAGGTATTGCATTCATGGCCTTGGAAACTGATATGGAGGACAAAATTACTTGTGAAGGTGACATGCTTCAACTGGGTTGCCCTTCACGAAGCCTGCTTAACACAAGACAACCTATGCAGAAGGGGATTTCAGCTGGTCAACAGATGTTATCTTTGCAGGAGACACCAGGAAACAATTAATCACCTGCTTCTACACTCAGTAGCCACAGACCTATGGAACATGTTCTTTTGTATTTTTTGTCTAAGCTGGGTAATGCCACAGACCCTGAGAGATGCACATATGAGCTGGAGTCTTTGGGAGGTTGATAAGGTCATCAAGAAGATCTAGCTTATGATCCCTGCAACTATTTTTTGGTGTTTATGGAACGAGAGGAATAGAAGATGCTTTGATGACACCTCAACCCCGAACCATATACTCAAATCTAAATGCCTGCTCAACCTTTTTTGCTGGACAAAGTTGTCCCCCGTAAATAGCACAGGGCACCTTTGGGACTTTATTAGCTCTCTTGTCCTAGATTGAGACTTTGTTTGGGGGCAAACAATATTCTCCTGTAATCTTTAGTTTATTTAGCTCATGTGCCTCTTGTAACTTTGCATCTTCTTGATGCCTTCTTAATAAAACATATTACTTCATAAAAAAAAAATACAGGNATGGATTCAGTTGAACATATAGAACAAGTTCTGCCTTTACATTTATGTACAATGATCAAAGATTAATTAATTACATTTGGAATGTCATACATGTTGTAGGACCATTTCGAAGTGCCCCTTATTCTACTATCAGTGTTCTTCTAATCTGCTTGATTTTATGTTTAATTTGTTGCGCGTGGGTACATAATTGAGTGTGATCTTATTATATGGGCTGAATACATAGATAGTCCCTTAAACTTGTCCGAATTTTTCATTTAGACACTTAAATTAAGCATATGACCTATTGAGCACCTGATCTATGCTCAAACTGTTTCTATTAAACACTAGTTGCTGAAATGGCAGATGCGTGTTTGCCTCCTAAAATTAAATGCGTGAAATGAATTTATGTTAAACTAGCATAAACACTTTTGCTGGAAAATATAAAAATTTGCCGGAAAATGACTTTTCGGCCATTTTTGTTCTACTTACTCTCCTTCGTAACTCATTTTCTGCCTTTTTTCGGCCATAGATTGGAAAACACAGTTCTTCTTTTTCTGCTTCTTCACACCACCCATTCTCTCTTTTTCAAGCCATCTTCCATTTTTTTCAGATTCAAACTCATTTTTCTGATTAGATCTTGTATTTAGTTGATAAAGATGTTGTTACTGCTGTTATAGTGTTTTGCGGTGTTTTTTCCCCCATTTTTCAACAATGTTCACATCTTTTGGGATATTTCCAAAGCTACATTTGGGATCTGGTGCTGAACCTCCATCTCGGTTCTATATCGCCATGGAAAAATGGTTGTTGTCATTGGCGATTTACACAAAGAAGCTTATGGGCAGAATCCGAGCTCAAAGACCGTTGAACAATCCAAACATGGTGCTGAGAGGGAACATGTGTGAGAACAAACAGTACAAGCCAAAAGCAAACTTTGGTGGTAAAGAAAGAGAAATTTCCATTGATTACAAGACTGGGGAATGGGGAGGATCTATCTCTATTTATACGTGGATAACTTAAGGTGCTGCATATTATATAGGTACTGGAAAATGGAAATTCAGAGGTAATGAAAAGATTGACGTAGACGGGGATTCATAAGTACTTTCATGGGATGTTAATAACTGGCTGTTTGACCATGATGAAGATGGCTATGCTTTCTTCATGTTCTCGTTCGAAATCACCATTTTTTATATGGAGCTTCACCAGAATTTTTCTTTATGGTCAAACTTCTTCTTCTTCCTCTCTCTCTCTCTCTCTCTCTCTCTCTTTAATTTTTTTTTTCAAATTTTGACTTTGTTGCTGATGTGTCATTTTTTACTGGTTTTGTTTGTCATGTCAACAGCAAGTTTAGGTGTTTAAACGAATAATTTGGATAAGTTTAGGAGGCCGTCTATGTATTCAGCGTATTATCATATGTATACATTTTAAGTTTTTTTTAATGTATAAGTAACATAGTTCGAGTTGGTGAAAGAATGGATTAGTTAAAAACATACAAAACTAGCTCTAAATTTGCTTCTGCATTTGCATGCGTTGATCCATGATTAATCAATTACTTGTGGAATATTGTCATACACATTATTGCAGTATCATTTTGGGTCGCATTTTAAGAATTCTAATGATTTCAATGGAGAAAATTACTGGATATCAAGACCTTGCTGGGTGCTGCATCTCAAGACTTTAAGGATTCACGGCTACGAGTGGTGGGACTCCGATGAGTACGTCCTTTCTTTTCTGCAAATTGTTCTAAAGAATGGAATGGTGCTTCAGAAAATCATCATTGATTTCTTCGAAATCAACTCCT